TATATATATATATATATATATATATATATATATATATATCCCAAAAGATTTATGATATATTTTACTCTATCATGATTACTATCCCAAAAGATTTATGATATATTTTACTCTATCAATCATGTGTATACACACGGTAGCAGCAGAGGAAAAATTGTGGAACGTGAAAATTATTTAAACCCTTTTTATCAATCAAGGTAGGATTTCGGGGTGCAAGGTTGATTAGTCCCGTTTAAATTTATTTCTTCATGTTGATGAATATTATGCTCATGAAAGTTATGATATGATATAGTCATCCGATACAAAAAATATGATATGTATTGAGTTCTACCAGTTTCTAAGATATAATATGACAGTATGATATTTCTGACGCATGATCTAAATATTTTTATTCGGGATTGCGCCATTATTCGTGTCCTACTGAGTATTTCCATATACTCACCATTTTTTCTACTCTTATAGGTTTGAATGTGTTGTTGATTGGCAGGCGATAAGGTGCAGTTGTTGTTGCCAGGATATTTGGAATTAATTATTAAATTCAGTGTAACGTGGCAAAACTTCTTTATTCCAACATTTTATTTTCTTTTTAATAAATGTCATATACGTGATTTTTATGTTAATTTGGATATATTTTATTTTAGTTATGAGATTCTCCTATAAATTAGTACATGTTCGTTAATTTCATGTACTTCGCTATTAAGATAAATGGTTTTGGTAACAGTTCAAATCTTAAAAATTTGAGTCGTTACAGTTTGGACATTCATTATGCATCCCATATAAAAAAAATCTAGCAAAAACTCTCCAAAAATCATTCCGAAAATCTTTTTCTTGTAGAGGGAAGAATTTCATTCATGTACGTTGTTGTTTGTAGTTTGAAGTACTTCTACCACAAGTTATATCTGTTGTATCTTGAGAAACAAGTGTCGTAACCCATTAGCACTGTTGCGGGATAATTTTGTTTTAAGGAAATCACTTGTCTTGAATTTCTTTTCCTTACTTTCTTTTTTATTCTTGTTCTTTCTTTTCGTTTATAATCCTCATAGAGTTTAATTACACTCTTGCGAATTAAACTTAAATATATATTTTTTTTTATTGACAAACAGCCATTTCACTACTAATATCACCAACATTTTCCCTCTTGCAGAATCTATTAGTTGCACTTACATAGACCGTCTCTCAAGTAATACATTCCACCAGCAACCATAAAAAAATCTAATGGATCTATGAAAGGTGTTAATCACTTGTTTTGGATTTCTTTTCCTTTCTTTCTTTTTTATTCTTGTTCTTTCTTTTCATTTCTAATCTTCATAGAGTGTAATTACGTTCTTGCGAATTAAACTTAACTATTTTTTTTTATTGACAAACAACCATTTCGCTACAAATATCACCAACATTTCCCCCCTTGTAGAATCTATTGGTTACATCTACATAGACTCTCTCAAGTGATACATTCCAACAGCAACCATACAAAAATCTAATGGAGCTATGAAAGGCCCGAGAATCCCCTTGAATTCAGTGGAAAATGGGATTGAGCCTGGTGTAGGGAATGGGGATGAAATAATGGCTAAGGTAAAGGAAAATGAGTTTGATGAAGGTATGACCATAGACATGGAAACTATTGAAGAAACAGCCAGATCATCAGAAGCATATTCAACATCGACCTTTGACCCATAGCTTTGTTTAAGACTTTTTTACAATGTCGCTTTATCGATTTCCATAGAACTTATTATATGGTCTTTTAGCAAGGGCATGAAAGCTGGAGGCTGCCCCTTTGTATTATGATCATTTGAAAACGTTCTTTCAGGCATAACAGATGCATAACATATAATCATGTGAGGATACTTGATGCATATTTTAACATCTTATGCCTGGAAATTAAGAATGGTTTGATATGTTTATGCACATGTAACAATTATACTCTTCCTCCGTGAATTTAATGTTGTGTATCTTTTGAGGGATTATTTCTGCATAACCATTAGACTTGGCTTTGATTTATGGTGAATTTGTTGTTGTGACCTAAAAAGTCTGGCAATAGTTATTGCATGCTACCGGGCTTTGTCTAGGGTGAAAAACAAAACAAGAAAAGAAAATAAATTGATCTCTTCTCTAGTTTATGAGTTATAGTCGACTTAAAAATTTACTGGCATTAGGAATGTGGTTCTTGTGTCCTCAACTCCTGCCCGAAGACCGGCTACTTGATATAAGCTAAATTTGTAGGCTATCAGTATCAGTTCTACCCTACATTGGTGCACTTTCACACGCAAGGTTTAAGAGTTCGAAGCTCGTGTTAGCATTAAGGAGTACATGATTATTTGTAGCAATGTACAATGTTGAAAAATTTAAGCATCTGTACTTATATAAAATTCAAATAGCAATACTAAATCGATAGCCTTCATTTTTTACAATTTAAATAGTTCGCCTTCTTAAATGGTGCAATATTCATAAAAAAATTCTGCACCATTTGACAGGCAATTACTCCATTCAATGCATTGATAACAGGTCAAGAAATTGATTTTTCAATTTTGTCCTCAAAGACACAATTCCATTTTACTACTTTGCTCTTTTTGGAACCCGTCTATATTGGCATGCAAATACAAGAAATTGGAGGGTAGTTTTGGAATGGTAAAAATTTTGGATTCAAAATTAAGTGTAGTAGTACCGCATGATTTGGAATTGATATGGCGTGTGTTTGACAACTTGGCCACATTTATTGCACAAAAAATTGGTTTTTGACAAAATAAAGGCTGTCAAACACGCCACCTGAACATCAATATGGATAATTTCAAAACGCTTGTCATATCCATGCACGTGGATGGGTTATTTGCTTTGGTCAACCTTCGCTAGTGTCCCAATTTAGCCCCTATTTGTTTCCCATTTTTTTACCTCATTTTAATATCTTTTGGGACCGTTGCAAGTGCAGCACCAATTTTTTTTATTTTTTTTTTAATCTCATAATGGGACCCATGTGCTGGAAAAAAAATGGTTCCAAAAATGCATTCTTGTATTCAAATAATGGGAAACAAACAGGGTCTTAGCATCGAAACATCATAGAAGACTAATGCACAGTTCATGGGAGATTTCAATGGAGAAAAAATTCATTTCATTTATCGAAGATAAATGTCCACCACATAAGCACACATTGTCGGGGAAAGACAGACGGGAGAATGCCATTTGACAACTCGAGAACTTAATATTTTCAAATTACCAAGTGATTCATAAACATAAATTCCGTGAGTAAAAGTATCCCTGCAGTTGGGCTATCGTTTCATGATCCAACCAAGTTATCAAAGTGCCAGTCAAGAACTTGAGAAAGTACAAATTCACTTTATGAGCTCGGGAAACAACCCAAAGACGGGAATATCATTCAGAGTTGAGGGCTTTCTAATTTACAGACACCTCAGTTCTTTTCTGTCACAAATCTACACGCCTGCTGATTTCTCGAGAGTTTGGTGAGTGAAACCCCATTAGAATGTTGAGGTGCCCACTGAAGAGAATCCAGCAGCCTTATGCTCTTTCAAAGTGCTTGCTAACCAGTCCAAGCCCTCATACAAGCCATCTCCTTTGAGAGCGCAAGCCCCTTGTATGTGCCATTTTCTGTTTTTAAGATCGTAGAGACCCAGGCCTTCACAAACTTCCATTGGGGTCATTGCTCCTTTCTGCATGTAACCGAAAAATCTATTATTCAACAAAGGACTATAACCACAATCCAAAGAATGACATAAATCTTAATCCACAATGATATTCAAACAGTAGTGCTAGTAGTGGATGGTGGACACAATATATCACTGTAACCAGGAAAATGAAGAGCACAGCCTCAATATGCCTGGTTCAAATATACTTTGACATTATTGATAGGTAAACTAATAGTAGGTATCAAGCCACTTACCATGTCTTGCTTATTTGCGAACACCAATATAACAGCATTGAGCATAAAAGGATCTTTGATGATGGCCTGAGCAAAGAATAAAATGAAAACTATGCCACAACTTGAGAACTTGAGTTTAAAATATCAAACATTCAAAAAAAAAAAACCACCTGAAACTCAGCCTTTGCCTTTCCAATTCTCTCGCGATCCAAAGAGTCCACAACATAGATCTGCATAAGAAAGAGCCTAGTAGAAAATTAAGGATATCAATGAGTTAAAAAGCCTCATTGGGAACCAGGTCTGTTTCACTTTGATCGGACAAACTGTAGATAGTATACTGAATCAAACAACCACAAACAAATCGCAAATTGGACGTCTTCATTACCATCCCAACAAACTGTTCACTATCCTAAAATAAGATGGTCATTCGCATGTTTTGCCATGTGTCCTCTTCATAATTTAGACGAGTTTGTGTTTCCCCTTCAGAGAAATATGTTCATTTCACATCCCCTTCTCTCCTTCCAAGATGGTAAAAAACTATGCTTCAGGTTCGAAGATGGAAACAGTTGTAGTGATTTACTTGAGGGGTGGCAGCAGAGAGTATCTCGATGGGGTTTCGTCTTGTGGTTATGGTGGTTTTTCATGTGTCGGTGGCCGCCATTAAGTTAGCCTTGGATGACAAACGGTGTCATCGTTCTGTTCTACTAGGAACATTGTGGAGGTTATGACTATTATGGAGTTTATTTTTCTTTCTTTCTTCCAAGGTTGAGTTAGGTGGATTGGCAGCAGAAGCTATTTTAACAGACCCAAGCGGAGGTCATATTAAGGAGATAGTCATGTAAGCAGCAGAAGTGATCTCCGATGGAGAGGTGGCAATGTCAGTGGTCATGCTTAGAGATAAGTGGGAAAGCAGAGATGTGCAAAGTAAGTTGGCAACTTGCCATGGGCCAGGGGTGGAGAGAGAGAAATCAGGAGCAACAGAAAAAAGCAAAATTACTGAAGCCAAAACTCCCATACAATAAAGCCAGGATAGGCAATTTTAGGCGGGTGAATTATGAAGCATACAAATAGTATCTTACCAGCCCATCAGTATTATTAAAGTAATGCCTCCATAAGGGCCTTAATTTTTCTTTTCTCCTACATCCCACTCGAATAAAATAAAGCCAGGGCATACCGAATTTCATGTGGAAGAATTATAAAGCATATATAATAATATCTTACCAGCCCATCAGTATTATTAAAGTAATGCCTCCATAAGGGCCTTAATTTTTCTTTTCTCCTACATCCCACTCGAATAAAATAAAGCCAGGGCATACCGAATTTCATGTGGAAGAATTATAAAGCATATATAATAATATCTTACCAGCCCATCAGTATTATTAAAGTAATGTCTCCATAAGGGCCTTAATTTTTCTTGTCCTCCCACGTCCCACACTGTGAATATCACATTTTTATATTGAACCTTCTCCACATTGAACCCTGCACAGAAGCAATAAATATGATCATTTTCTAGCGGTCTTAAAAGATTTAATACACTGATGCATACACATTGATCTATGAAACTACGCTATCATTAAGGGACACCAATATGTAAAAACCCATCTGTGCACAAGTTAATATCTAAGAAGCAGCTAAAAACAAGATTTACTTGATGCAGTGAGAGCATGCCCCACTAACTATATAAACAATTCTTGAACTCCTAACAAAAATCTCAAGGCCTTCAGTGATTCTCAAGATTAAATTCCCATGAAAGGTCAAACGTGACTAAAAATTTCTGAAGGAAATCAGCAGTAACTGAGATATCCTTAATCAATGCCTTCCAAGATTTACAACATTATCCAATTTCCCCAGTGAGGGCATTCGAAGAAACTCAAAGATAGAATCATGCCAAGCTCAAATCAGGTCTGTGATGCTCGGATTCTTGTTTCCAACCAATATTTACAACATTAAGATCTTGTGCTCTGATTCTGGTGGAGAATATATCTTGTGATTTTCAATTTTTCCTACAACAGAAGGACATTCTTTCACAGCGTTATTGTCCTCATACCCCCAACAAAAATGAAATTGCTGAATGTGTATGCTTTATACCTCTTTGAATGTGTATGCTTTGTTCACTTACCTCCTGTTGAACGTCATAAACTTGTTCAATCTGTTTAGTGTGCATTCCTTGGCTATAGTAATTCTTAGAATTCTCACTGTTTCTTAGATTCATGGACCCAAATCAAATCGGTGAGATCTTTCATTCACATTTTTTTTTCCCACCAAGAACGTTCTGTTATGCAAATACTAATAAGCTCCATATTTCTCGAAATGTTAATTTCTTTGAAAATGAATATTTCTTTCCTTCTAGTCATAATCCAGTTTCTTCTTCTATTTCCCTTCTTTCTAAAGTTAACCGTTTTAAGCCAAGTATTGTATATCAGTGACGTCGCCCACTACCTCTTCCCATCTCTAATTCAACAACTGATCTTATAATGCACGAACTTGGTCGATCTACTCAAGTTCCACAGCCTGATAGATAGGTACGAGTTCTCACATAGTGCTCTTTAGCCCACTCTTGACAACACTTTTGTGCCCAAGTCTTATTCTCAGGCTTCTACCCAAGATTGTAGGCGACAGGCTTTGTCCGAAAAACTTCAGGCTCTTCTCGATAATCACATTTGGGATATTATTACTTGTCCTCTTGGGGTCAAGCCACTTAGGTGCAAATGGATATACACCATCAAGTTGCGTGCTCATGGATCTATTAAAAGGTATAAAGCTCGTCTGGTGGCACTCGAGAATCGCCAAGAGTATGGCTTTGATTACAAGGAAACATTTGCTCCTTTAGCAAAGATGACTACTGTCTTTACAGTTATAGCAATTGCTAGTTCGAAAGGATAGTCGTTTCACCATATGGATGTAAAGAATTCATTCTTACATGAAGATATAAAGGAAGAAATATTCATGACTCCTCCACTTGACATGTTTTCTTCTCATTCTACTGAGGTTTGTCGCTTAAAGTGATCCTTATATGGTTTGAAATAGGCACCGTGAACTTGGTTTGAGAAATTCTGATCTACTCTTTTGGATTTTACTTTTACTTAGAGTTAGTATGACTCTTCTCTCTTCTTTAGCACTTCCACAAGGATAGTTATACTTCTTGTATATGTAGAAGATATTGTGATTACAGGTTTTGATCCTTAGTTGATGAAGCAACTCCAATAGAGACTCGTGTTCTTTTCGTAAGAAAAATCTTGGTCCCCTACACTTTCTTATCTTGAGGTGTGCACTCTTCATCTAGCACACTCTTACTTCAAAATAAGTATACACAAAGAGCTACTCTCATTAGCTGGTCTTCAGGATAGTAATTCAGTTCTTACACCTATGGAGGTCAATTTAAAGTTGCGCCAACAGGGTGAAAATTCCTTGTAAGATCGTTCGATGTATTAACAGTTGGTGGGCAGTTTGAATTTATTTGACCATTACCAGACCTAATATTTCTTTTGTAGTCTAACAGATTAGTCAGTTTATGCAAACTTATTGCTAGAACCATATAGCTGCAATCCGTCGTCTTCTTCGATATCTGAAAGGTACCTCTGGCCGAGGTTTTTTCTTTCCGTCTGGGACTTCATTGCAGTTGATGGGATATTGCAATGTAGATTGGGCTGGTTACATTGATACTCGTCGTTCTATTACAAGATGGTGTGTGTTTCTTGGTGATGCTCTCATTTCCTGGAAGAGTAAGAAGCAGGATTGCATATCGAATTCTTCTACTGAGTCTAAATATCGTGCCATGTCGTCTGAATATTCTGAAATTATTTGGCTTCGAGAATTATTGGGAGTACTTGGTGTTCCACAACTTCCCTAACTCCTCTTCATATTGATAATTCAAGTTCTATTCTAATTTCTACTAATCCAATATTTCATGGGCGTACCAAGCATATTAAAAAGAATTGTCATTCCATTCATGACCATTGCCCGCCATGAAATTACTCTTCCTTACGTCTCCCCCGAGCACCAAACAGCTGATGTCTTTACTAAAGCTCTTTCTCGTCAATGCAATCAGTTTATTATTGACAAACTAATGCTTCTTGATTGACTAGCATCAATTTGAGGGGATGTCAGGGAGAAGTATTAATTAAGCAATTATTGTAAATATGGATAAAAAATATTTTCATTAGGAAATAGTTACGTGTATAGTTTCCTTAATTAACTTCCTACTTTGTTTAACACTTAACTATAGGCTGTAATCAAGGATAAGTTTTGTTATTTAATCAGAAGACACTCCTCTATTGGAGGCATTTGAACCAAAATAATATTATTGACAGACACAACTCGGGTACAAATACAAAATATAGGGCAGACACGGCAATTTTCAAATAGACACTCCTTGATCTCATGTTTCACTGACAAGCCCAGCAAGAAAAGAATACTCCCAGAAGAACGAAATAATTGAAAACCTACGAAAAAGGAAATATAAAAACACAATAAAATACCTCAGGGGAAAAATGCTTTAAAACACTTCAAAAATTGGGGAAAATCCTTCATGCCAATGAAGATTGTTCATTTCCTTCAAGTATTTAGGTTTAATGGGTGTATGATTATTGGTGGGGAAGAAACTCGACTTATAGAGGAACAGATTGCATTCTTTCCTCTTCTACTTCTATTATTGAACTGAAGAAGTGTAGAGATATTTACATACTTAAAAGGCTCAAAAGGAAAAGGCTTTTCGTGTCAAATGGAATTGTTGAAATTTGGAAAGTGTGAAATCTAACAAACAGTGTACGGCGAGCTTAAATCTAGATTGTAGTGTGAAGACTCTGCCATCATTTTTAGTGTATTTGAAGTGCAAAAAAGCATTTTTGCAATAAACATCGAGGAAACCAGTTAGGAACAAGCCCGGTGTCAACACTTCGGCTCAAAAATGAACAGTGAATTTCCATCCTTTCTTTTAAAGGGAAGGTAGGATTTATGATGTTTTTAATTTTTCAAACTTTTAGTATAAATACTCAGTTGGTTTTCTAACTTTTAACAATTTGCCATTTTAGAAAATAAAGCCCGTATTGAGGCTCCATTTTAATTTTAATGTATTTCTCTTTTCAACCACGCATTCTATAACAAAATAATATTGCACGTAAACCTAAAAAAAATTTCTTCCTACTTAACCCCATTCTCCCAAAAAAAAATAATAATAAATAAATAATAAAATAAAATTCCAAAATACATTTTCCCTAAAACCTTTTTAAAATAGAGCCCAAACATGGACAAAAGATCCAACACTTAGATAAGTACCCGAGTCCAAGTATCTTAGCATCAAGTACAACTGCATAATTGATGTATGCCTAGAATTCTATTACTGAATTTAAAATCATTTTCAGGTTAAATATATCTCCAAGCAAGAATATATCATGAACATACAGCGTAGTTAAGCACTGTCGTGGCTATACGACTAAATATATGGTCAAACCTCCTCCCACATATTAACTCATTCCTACATCAGTAAAAGCCACAAATGCATGGGCAAAAATTACAATACCATCTTGAGATTTGGACCTCTGACACACATCATATGCTTTGAGATTATGCATACGACTTTTATAGCATTCAAACAATGTAACAGTGTAACTATTATACAAGTCCAATACCAAGCGTATAACTAATTTAGAAGCATTCTGAAGGTTGTGCTAACCACATGTTGATTCAAAAGGTTTGCAATATAACAGTGGAACCCTTTAAAGTCTACAGACTTCTATGGTATTCAAACAGTATAACAGTGGATATATTGCACAAGTCCAGTACCAAGATTATGACTAATTTCAGGGTTGTGCTAACTAAACATTGATTCAAAATGTTTGCAATAGACCAGTAGAACCCTTTAAAGTCTAAAGACAATCAAACCTAACAGTTGCGACATGATGTCAAAATTATTATTAGCATTAAAAGCCAAAAACAAAAATGTATTTTCCTAATAAAATTAAAATAGGTACCCTGAGATTATGAACAAGTTAATTGAGTCCAAGAAATAAAGAAGGCATATAGATGTCCTAAATCAATCGAACAAGTTGCTTTACTTATTAGAAATTATTTATAACTAATCCACCCGTAAAGCATTATGCAACACTATAAACATTTGGCTGCATAACATTACACTCTATCTTACGGTCACTTTAACTATTAAACCACTTAACTATCATATCTTAATTGCAGTATCCAATTCCAAGTTTAAAATGTATTCAAACATTTCAAGATAGAGGACAAAGAAATAAGGAGACAATACAAAAGTAAGTAATAGCATGACAGTGTGATAACGGCATCTATTAATCATTATTAATTGCAAGTAGGCATAGAAATACTACGACAATCCAAAAATCAAAAAACTCCTCTGTCGTTAACTATAGTTATTTCTTCAGCTTTCAATAAAATACGATCTTTAAGGAGAATGGCCAACCGATTGTAGGAACTGTAGATAAAACCTCTCCAATGTGAAGCTTATACAATATAGTTGTTTTTCCAGCAGCATCCAGCCCAAGCATCACAACCTACACCAATTCAAACAAGAATAACAACCATGACACCAACGCTAAAAGATAATAATTTATAGATTCATGGCATTTACAAACAATATCTTCTTAAATAAAATGAAATTTTTAGAGAAATTCTTTTATTAATGATAAATGTGGTGATGATGAAAAAGCATATGTTTGTGTGTGTATGTTCCATGCAGATTCATATAGAAAGTTTATTCCATTCCTAGCAGTCTATATTTCTGCGTCAAATATTCACTGATGGTAAACTAGTATTCCTTTTCCGTAATGATTGATGACATATATTAGTATCTTGTTGTCCTATCTAGGTTCATTTAGGAATTCCATTAGCAGCATATATTAGGTTGTCCTGCATCATTATAGACAGCAAGCTAATCATTCTTGTGGGGATGCATAAATGGGTATATGTTGCATTATTTTGATAATTATATTGACTCAGACTTGTGCTTTTAGACACAACTTTCTTATCGCTGGAGTCACCTTCTTCGAACCTATAACTTGTTGGAAGATTCTTAGTGAAAGTGCTGTATGCTGTGGGGAAGCTGCCATCTTCCTGCTAGAGGCTTCTAAGTTGAGGGCCCTGCATTCTTGGGAGCTAGTGTAACTGCAGCAGCTAGCTTTAGCTTAGCTAGTCACATTAGCTAACATAGTGGTTGATTTAGAAGGGCAATGTACTTGTCCTTGGCTTTAGATTGATAGTTAGCTTAGCATTCTCAGAGGTTGACTAAGAAGGGTGATTTACTTTTCCTTGGACTTGGCTTTCAAGAGCAAGCTTCTTTTGTTTAGTGGTTTTGTGAGCAGCAGTTCTGTGCTAGGGAGGAAGAGTTGACTTCTTCAAAATCGGAGCAACAGCAAGAAATTTGTAACCTAATGAAAAAGCTAGTGCAAGAGAAGTCTTAGCACTAGTGGTTCTCTTGTTGTACATTTTCATCTCACAGTGGGTATCATTGGCTTCAAATAAATCATCTTCTGGTGCTCTAGTTCAGCCCTTCTATAAGGAGTCATGAATCTTCTTTCACAGTTCTGATCCACAAAAAAAAAAAAACCTAAAATTGGATACAAGAAATTACTTGGTTCACCCAATTTAGGCTACGTCCGAGAGCAAGTATAGGAGGATTTCACTATAGCAAAAGAATTACAATAACATTCTTTCTAAATAAAAGGAGAAAACAACTAATCTATTTTGTAATAGAAGAAATTATATAAGAAACACTGTGGAGAAAACTCTCCATAATTTTACATCTCTATCTATACTCACTATTTTTTCTCTTTACTCTATGTAGCAAATAATTCACTACTTTTCTTCATCTTAAAGCAAGTATAGGAGGATTTCACTATAGCAAAAGAATTACAATAACATTCTTTCTAAATAAAAGGAGAAAACAACTAATCTATTTTGTAATAGAAGAAATTATATAAGAAACACTGTGGAGAAAACTCTCCATAATTTTACATCTCTATCTATACTCACTATTTTTTCTCTTTACTCTATGTAGCAAATAATTCACTACTTTTCTTCATCTTAAAAATTCTTTGCATTTCTCTTTGGCTGCATCCCCTATTTAAAACGAAATTTTGCAACATATCTCATAAATTACACACCACACTTTCAACAAAATTTGCAAAAGAATGACTGCATTCCCGTACACTTAACAACTGAAGTGAAAACTTTCTTGTAATATTTTTCCTCAACATTAAATGCTAGTCACGCATACAAGTTTTTTATTTAGCATCAAATGCCATGTCGCAAATTTTCTTCCTTAGCATTAAATGACTTGTTCACATAGTGGTAGGATGTAGTCAACAAAAGTGGCTTTAGCCAACATTTCTCCTACTTAAAGTCACAATTATTGTAACTCTTTTATCCTCTCTACACTTGCCATTTTCATGCTATTTACGTTTCTGCCAAGAAAATAGAGGATTGACACCATATAAACTTGTCAGTACAGATTTGCTTATTAACATATCTACTACTTTGCCCCCTGTATGGATTTTCTTTATATACATACTTCATTCATCAACCTTTTCTCGAACAAAGTGATATTAAACTCGAATATGCTTCGTCTTCGAGTGAAATGCTGGATGGAGTGGAGACTCTGCTAAAGAAGTCTACTTGAACGAGCTGGTCAACTTCTCCCCAGTTCTGTACATGCACCAAGAATGAGTCCCTCTTCAATTCTCTATCAAGAAAACACTTTAACTATCATAAAATAAAACAATCTTTTCTTGTTTGTGTCCAAACTCCTCTATTAACATTTGCAACCAAATTGCCTCTTTGCTAGCTTCTGTAGCTCCACTATTCTGCCTCCATCGTAGAAGTAGCCACGAGAGATTGTAGTTTTGAAACTTAGCTTATGGATCCTCCAATAAGAGTAAACACATAACTTGTGGCGGACTTACTTTCGTTAAGATCACCAGCATAATCTGAATCAACATAGCCTCTAACAGTAAAATTTGACCATCCATAACATGCGTAGCATTTGAAATACCCTTGGCATATCTCAAGATTCTCTTTACACTGCGATAGTTTTTATCAAGATTCGTCATGTATCAACAAACCACTCCTATTGCTTGTGCAATATTTCATCTTGTACTGATCATAGCAAATATTAAACTACTCACAGCTGATACGTATGGTACTCGAGACATTTACATCATTTCTTCTTCATTACTAGGACTCATTCTCGAGGATAACTTGATATTAATAGGAAGAGGGGTAAAAATTAACTTACAATCTTGTATATTGAAGTGACAAAAGATTTTCTTCAAGTAATTGTTCTGACAAAACCAAATCTCCCTATTATTTCTGTCTTGATAAATTTGTATACCCAGAATCTTATTTGTTGGTCCCAAGTTTTTCATTTCAAACTCCCTGTGAACTGTGCCTTAAAAGTCTTTAACATGATCTTTGTTGGGGCCTACTACCAACATGTCATCAATGTATAAAAGCATAATAACTTAAAGCTAAAGCCACTTTTGTTGATTACAAATAACTATTATGCCAACAAGTCATTTAACCATTAAAGAAGAAAACTTGTAACATGGCATTTAATGCTAAAGAAGAAAACTTGGATGCATTAAATGCTAGCCAACTGACATTTAAAGCTAAGGGAAAAATTTATAAGAAAGTTTTCACTTCAACTGTAAAGTGTACAAGAATGCGGCCAATATTTTTCAGTTTTTGTTGAAAGTGTAGTACATAATTAATGGAGTGTGCCAAATATTTATTATAAATAGGAGATGCAGCAGAAGAAGAACGTGAAAAACTGTAGAGAGGAAGAAAATTAGTGAGTTATCTACTATACATAGTAGATAGAGAAAATAGTGGGTGAGTATTTCCTACTTAGTTTCTTCTATTACAAGAGAAATTAATAGTCATTATCTCCTTGCATTAAGATATAATGTTATTGTAATTTTCTTGCACGATTCTACCTGTACTCGATGAATTGAATTGTCTAATGACAGCAAGTTGTAAGCAATTGGTCTAGTTTCAAAAGTAAAAAAGTTTCTTTTTCCATGGAAGGTGGTATTACATCACAATTATTTGATAGAAAAGAGGATTTCCCTTCTGCTTTCTCTTCTCTTAGTAAAGTGGTTCAAGTCAAACTTTAGGCTTGCGACAAACTGGGCTCAGGTACTGCAATCAGCCGCTTCCCCTATAGTCATCAGCTAGTTCTTGACAGATACAAGGACAAGTAGCCTAAATTGGATAAACCATGTAAATTTTTGTATCCATTTTTAGCAGTATTTTTTTCAATTCCATTTAGTTGCTTGCAAACCTTGACCCATATTTTTCCTAACCGTGCTCATCTCAATCTGTATATAATTAGGACTCTTAGTGAATAAAAATTATCTCTAAATTTGATAATGATGCTAATAGAGAATGCAAATATTAGCAGCCTAAAGGCAGCCATAGAATTTCCCAGTAAAATAGCACTAACAAAATGCTTGCAATCAAAGTGGAAACCTATAATTGAGAAGTAAACTACCTACATTAGATACAGACATACAGAAATTTTGCAAACAAATACTTCATATAACAACTAGTTTAATCTGGACAATCAAAACGCAAAGCAGCAATATTTGTCAAGCTAGGCTAGAAGCTGCAAAGCAGAGTTCATAAGCTTAATTAAAAAATGTCATAAATACACAACATAATAAATTAACAGTGTTCGGAAATCGAAAAATAAAAATGAAAATTAGCATACCCGCATCTCAGAATTGCCGAAGAAAGTGTCAAATAACTTGCGAAAGGCCTGACCCATTCCAATTTCTCTATTATTGTCCCTTTTTTCTGTAACTAAATACCAGAAATCTGAAAGAAAATTCAACGATCGAGGAAAGAAAAGTAAAATTTGATGATCAGAGAAAGGTATGGTACGCGTGATCGAATTGAATTTTGGAAGGGAAAGCGGTGTGCGATATTTGTCAATGAACACCAGAAGCGTTTTGTTTTATTATTATTAGACTTTTTCGAAACTTCATCGCCTTTTAATAGTGGAAATAATTCCCAGATTAGTCACTAAAATTTGTGTAAAGTTCTCATGAAGTCACTGAACTTCAAAAATTTCATTGTTAATCACTGAATTTTACAAAAAAATAAACAATATTGGTCATTGAGAGATGGACATGATTACATTTTGTAAATTATAGTGATTAGCATGGAAAATTTTGAAATTTGATAACTCTGAAAATTTTACGTAAAGTTCAATGACTAATTAGGGAACTAACTTTCAGTTGCTAATGGGAAACATTTTAAGTGTAGTGACAAACGGCGAAATTTTGGTGACCCCTTGGAAACCTTAGACGAAGTTCAATTACCAATCAGGTAATTAACCCCATTTTATCAATTTTTAGTTCTTTCAAGTCTTTTTCTTTCTTCTTTGTTTTTTGTATTTCTGCCTCACATTTTTATTCTCTCTAGCATCAAAAAACTTAGAAGAAAAAGAATAATATTTATCTTGGGGTAACCGACAAGGTTCTCTAGTGACCCCTTGGTAAAAGGTTATACTTTTTCTAAGTTTGACGATGTTAAGAGAAAATAAAATTGTAGGGTAGGAGTTAAAAAAAAAAAAAAAAAGTACAAAAAAAATATAAAAATTAATAAAACTTTGGGTTAATTACCTGATTGGTCACAACTTTGTGCAAGAATTTCAGGTGGTCACTAAATTTCAAAAGTTTTCCCTTTAGTCACTGAACTTCAAAAAGCTCCCCATTAGTCACTAAACATTAATATCTTGATTGGTTACTGAGCTTTGTGCAAAGTTCCCAACGGGTCATTGGATTTCAAAAGTTTTGCTATTACTCAATGATTGATGGACTTACATTTTGTAAAATTCAGTGACTAACCGAGAAACTTTTAAAATTCATTGACCTCCTGATAACTTTACACAAAGTTCAGTGAGCCAATCAGGAAATTGGTATTTTATTATAAGTTCAGTATATTTTTTGGGCTAATTGGTGCAAAATATTTTTATTATTTGCCTATTTTACATAAATCATTGTTAGTATTTCATTTTTTATTTTTAGATAATCAAGTTTATTAAATACAAGGAAATCGTCCTTGATGTCCAATTCCCTCCAAGACTTTATAAAATAACAAATTTTCCTTTCTTTTTAAATAAATTAAAATAAATAAAGAAATAATTACACTCAGAATCTCAAAATATTTTCAAAAAAATGTAAATAAATCTCACTTAAAATAATTTTAAAAAAAAATCGTTTCTTCTTAAACCAACCCTACGTACTCTTTGACTAGCCCCCTTCCATCTCCATCACGCCCCTCTCCTCTCCCTTCTACGTCGTCATCACCACCCATCCACCTTTCGACAACTACCAACACCACCAAAGAAGAGGAATTAGAATCAAGAGGGTAATTACAATTGCATGAGAAACAAGGACATTCAAAAATTTCCCAAATTCAAAAAGCGCTCACTTTTTGGCAGTTGTAATAAAAAATCACTCACTTCTGGCAACATCCGATTGAGACACCAAAATTGCAAACCTTTCAATTTCTATGACAGAACCAACTACTGCATTGTTTCAAAAACCTAGTTTGCATCACTCTCTGTCTTAAGTCTCTAAATTTGGGCTTAAAAGATAAATAAGTTTCTTGATTTTGAGCGTCAATGTCAAAGTGAGATTTCTAGGTTAATCGTTCTTTTATGCTCTGATATGGACAAGAAGTAATGATTTGATTTTCAATGTGTTTAAGAACATTATTCTATGTAAACTTCATCAATTTAATTAATTGAAGTATAAAGAGTTAGGTGAATTGATAAATACATTTTGTATATCTATCTAAACTACTAAATTATAGTATTTGATAGTGATTTGGATGAATTATAGCTTAATTATATGTTAATTTCGTTTGTTATGTATAATTCGAGTCAAATTGGATGAATTGGAAGAATGAGGGAAAAGTAGGCAAATAGAGAAAATTCAAAGTTTGAAGACCAAAGTGCAAATATTCAATAATTGATTCGAACCACAAAATAAATATTAAGATTACATAGGATCAATTGGATACAATTAGAGGCAAAAACAGTGAAAAAAAGTTAAAATATTTTCACAAATCAATTTTTAGTTGAAAATATTATGCTCCGTATTTTCAGTCTCATATTCAGATACACTTTTGGCCCAACAAACATTTAAATTGCTAGACCTTCGAGTTTTCTTTTTAATAAATTTTGAATCACCTCAATTGAATATCAAACGAGAAAGATATGACAAAAATACCAAAGGATGTTCAATCCTAAAAATTTATGCAGCGCACGTAGGGATAAAAGCCAATGCACTCACACTTTCTTGTTTAAAAATTTACCGAAAGCCACAGTGTTCAACGGCGCAGGTTCCATAGGATAGCCAACGGATTTTACTACCTTCCTCAATTAAAAATCTTTTCGAAATCAGATTTTCGCACCTATATAAAACTATTGGGACGCTCAGAATAGAGATACCATATTATATCATTATGAGTTTGCTTATTACTAGTTCCACCAACTTCAGTTACTAAAATATGCATGCCATGGCGATTTATGGCTAGATTAGAAAATTTTCAAGTTGGACTAATATGTAAAAAAATTACTCATAAAAAAATATTTTTTACAAGCAAAATATTTTCTACCCATTAAAATGAAATGGGCTGAGGGATTGGACGGGACTGTAACCCGACCCAGTGTCCCTAACATTATGTGTTGTCACCACTTACATGAATTGAGTTGTTATATGGAGGAAGGGAGAGATGATAGAGGTGGTGGTAGTAGTCATTGTTATAAAATTTGGGCTGAGCTGCGAAATTGATGACAAATGATCATAATATCCAAATGAAACTGGACCGGTTAAAACCCGAGTAAATTGACATTTTTTAACTAAAAGTCTGACCGACTGACTAGTTGAATCGAGTAAAATTATTCATAACCCCTTATTCAACTTATCATCTGAGGAAGGGAGAGATGATAGAGGTGGTGGTGGTAGTCATTGTTATAAAATTTGGGCTGAGCTGCGAAATTGATGACAAATGATCATAATATCCAAATGAAACTGGACCGGTTAAAACCCGAGTAAATTGACATTTTTTAACTAAAAGTCTGACCGACTGACTAGTTGAATCGAGTAAAATTATTCATAACCCCTTATTCAACTTATCATCAACATCGTGTGAGTGTCACGTGGTGATTTGATGTTCAAATAAACGGTTCTAGTTTCAATTAGTTCGAGAAAATGTGAAGTCTTATGATTTTAAAGTTCACATAGATGATTTTTGGTAGTGTGGGTACTCAAATTTAACAATTTAAATACCTTGACGATCTAGTACCTTTTTTTAAGGTAGAAGACCTAAACATTCACCATGTAAAAAGTTTACGAATCCACCCCTAATTATCTCTATTTATTTAATACTATATAATTGTCATTTGCAATTTTTTTTAATCAAAATAAAAGTTTTTTTTTAAATGAAATGTTAATAATTGCAAAAACAAGTCTGATCCCTCATTAGCCCCTATTTGTCTACGATTAAAGTAAGGAAAAAGTTTTGAAATAGTGAATTTTTGAAAAATGTATGATTAAAAAAAATAGAATTTATGTACAAAATATTTTTCTGGTGAATATGTGATTGAAATGAGTTCATGTAAAAAGGAGTTTTTAAAATAATGGTAGACAAACGGTGGGTAAGAGCCCTGCAATTTCTCTCTTTGATTTTTTGCACAAAATTCATGAATTTTCTCGTATTTCAATATCGCACAAATAGACCCAATCCCCTAATTTCTTCTCAAGAATCTTTTGATTGAACGACTAAATAAAAATTTATAACCAACATTCTTCTCAATTCCCACCCTAATCAATGATTAACATCCCAAAATAGCAATTGTTACTCCTCATATACGAATTTCCCAGTGGAAACCACGTGGAGGCACTATGTGTTGGTAGTCAACCAAGTCAAAATAAATAAAAGACGAGAGTTTCTCTACAATCGAGGTGCTATCTCTATCAAGTGTTCTTTTGCTGAGGCCCTTCTTATTAAAGCCAAACTTCTTCACATCTAAAGCTCTTCCTTATAAAGTCGAAGTGCTCGCTACCTTAAAAGTAGGTTTGATGAGCATCTTTAGGAATGATTGATGTAATATTTATATTAATAATTATCAAGCAAGTTAGCCTACAAGTGTAGGGCGGCTAACCTCTTGTCAATGTAATTAAGATATGACAGATTGATGTAAGGCTTCGGTTAATTAGATGAGACTACGTGGATATATTCCAAATGTGACCACGTCGGCTTGAACTCTATAGATAGCAACTCTTTTAACATTGTAAAAGATTGGGAAACATATATACAAACTTCATATACTTAACTTCCTCTCTTGCTCATTTGATATTAATTTGTTTGAGTTTAGATCACTTATATTTTTTGTGAAATTATCTGTGATTGTTTATTTGTTTGCACTCATATTTGATCATATCACTGGTGCTTGAATATTTTAGTCTCAAGCCAACATCTTCCACGTCCATAAACGTTGCCCTCAATCTTCCAACCGAAACTCAGGTCCAAACCTGTCAGAATTTGCTTGCATGGACATGAGTGGGCCTGACAATCTATTGTCCGATTGGCCATTGCAAAAAAAGGGGTCAACAAATTGACGCCGTCTGTGGAAACCCTTACAGTTAACCATGAAAATCTCGTGGAGAAAAGTTAGCAATCTTTACGAGAGAGGATTTCTTACCTTTGAAGAAAATGAGGCATTCTTGAAGAAAGAATCACCAAGAAGAACTCCCACCTTAACATTTACATCCCTTGAAAAAGGAAGTATCAGTTAGGTTTGAAACAACGCAAAACTCTATCATAATTATTAGGAATGATAAATCAACACCTCAAAGAACCAAGGAACACCCTAAAGAAGGGAAACCCTCGTACATTATCCCAGTATCTCGGCATAGATTTCACCAACCGCACAGGCAAGGCAGACCAAGAGA